TTTTCATGCGACATCTGATGACCTATATCCGATCCTCTCATCGTTATCTTAATAAAGGAGAGGGTCTTCCCCTCCAGGCACGTCGCTCTGTTGTATACTTCTTGATCTTCTCGGAATCGAATCGCTCACTTGCTTTCGTCATCCCACTGCTAATATTTCATGACCCCTCCCCCTCCTCCCCTACGCTTTTCCCAATTAACCTTATTCTTCCAAGCCGTGCCGAGAACGCGAACAGCTCTTATTACTCATGGCTCCTAGTGTCTTTAGGAAATGAGATTTTATCTTTATGTTACCATGTCGCAGTGAGTGTTACTTCTCATACGTATTATCACCATCTAACACCCTGTCTATATAAGACTAAACATTTTACTACTCAGTTAATCAAATTGTTCAAGTCGGCACGAGATCGTAATCCTTCTACAGCAGTCTTTCCTGCGGTTTATATATATAGAATTGTTTATTCTAAGATCGACACGCGTAATGCGTTTTAGATCGACAGGCAAATGTTTTGATTAGCTCATGAAGCCGCGACTTTATTCCTTTAAACGTGGGCTCACCATTGCCTCCATCCATCTCCGTCCTCAGCATCGCCGATAGCTAGCAATTTGTTTGTTGTTCTAATGCCATATTCAAGCAAATTTGCCAATTCCATTTAGGGAGAGCGTTGACGGAGCGTCATTTCTTGCTAAGCTCGCTCGTTCTCCAGTCTAATTTAAATCCGCGCGTACTATGCCTTTGCCGTCTGTCACGTTATTCGGGAGAAAAAAAATTCATCTTACGACGAGACTTTCATTTTCGAAGCAGCCCAGTTTGTCAACTCGCCTTTGAGATCTCGTCATCACTTCATTTCCACGTTCCTCTGCACTCCGTTGTACATTTTAATATAAATATCCGCGTCGAGATTAGCTTTGTTTATGTTAATGGTATGTCGTATATCAGACGGTTTTTTATGTTTCATAGTTGTTGGCGTTGTGTTAGTGTGTATTATGTTTTTCTTCAACATGCGTCGTAATGTAACAATTAGGCGAAGTATTTTATCGATCGCTGTGCGCGCATCGTTGTTTTCGCAGTACTTACTCGCAGGTGAGAACGTACGCATTGCGATACATACGACAGCCGATCGTTGACATTCAGGGCATTACGAAATGTACGGAGAATCGTGAAATATAGCTGGCGTGTTAATTTATACGGGTTTATTTTTTAATGATCATCTTTTCAAATTTTAGCAATTGGTTACGGTCACACTTTCGCCGCAAAAGTGCATTGCGCCTCAACTGTGCGCTAAATATTACATGTTCACAATATCGGACGTTGTACGTTTAAAGCCAGCTATCGGAAAGACGGCAAGCTGGTTCGCCGAGACGAATGTAATTAGAAGGACAATAAGCTCGACCTGTGACGGAATGGCTATACCGAGGTATGCATTAATAATTAATTATTGTAATTAATGTTACATTGCGGCACCGCAGCGGCGAACCGCGCGAACATCGGGCACGAGCGCATAGACGCACTGAGGCGCGCGCCGCGCTAGCGCACGACACCGCCATAACACTACACACACACACACACACAACACAACACACACAGAACACACATACACACCACACACAACACACACACATCCAACACATCAACACACACACACACATACACAACACACAACAACACACACACACACACACACACACACACACAGCACACACATACACCACACACACACACATACACATACACACACACACACCACACACACACATACACACACACAGCGTCACACACACACACACACACACACCACACACACACACACGCGGCGGCGCGCGCCGCACGCACGCACACACACACACACGGCAGGAATTGTCTCCGCTAAGCGATTGCGGGACTTTGCGTTTGAACAGCTAACGCGATTAAATGCGGCTCGAAGCTTGATGTCGTCTTGATGTGTTGGCATTCATCTTCACCATCGCGGCATTAACTTGTCGCCTCAATCCAACCGCTGCCTTTCCTCCGGGTCTATCCGACAGGTGCGTTAAACGAAAGCACAGACACTTGGAGCGTTTCAATAAAATATATTTCTAAATAATATACGAATCGTATTTAACTTATGCAAAGTCTCAATGTTTCTCTACTCTGCTTTTCGCTCCTATTATTGCCTGACAATTTTCCTGTATATGGCGTGCAGATGCCTGCTCTGCAAACAGCCCACATGTACACCGCACGCACGCTGCGCCCACACTGAGCAGCATAATATATATATATATAATATATATATATATATATGTGTGTTGTGTGTGTGTGTGTGTGGTTGTGTGTGTGTGTGTGTGTGTGTGTGTGTGTGTGTGTGTGTGTGTGTGTGTTGTGTTGTTCCAAGTGCCTCGGTGAACGAAAGGCTTGAAAGGCGCTCAACGAGAGATTGAGATGGAGGTACGAGGAAAGAGATGGGGAGGTAGGGAGAGATCTGATGGGAAGAGAAGAATAAAAGGCCGGAGGAGGTGGAGAGAGGGGGATAGAGGAAAGGTGGAGGATGTGGAGAGAGAGCGCGAGGGAGAGGATATATGAAGGAGGTGGAGAGAAAGGGAGAGAGGGGAGAGACGGAGGAGGTGGGAAGAGAGGAAAGACGAAGGAGGTAAAAAGAGAGGGGGAAAGAGGAGAGACGAATGAGGTAGAGAGAGAGGGGGAGAGAGCGGAAAGAAAGGAGAGACGAAGGAGGTGGCGAGAGAACGAGAGAGGAGAGAGGGAGGATGTGAAGAAAGTGTGAAAACAAAAAAGGTCAAACGAGAATAGACGCGCGCACACGACCACCCAACAGATATATACACGCCTGCGCAGACACACAAATATACACACAGCGCGCACGACACCACGTTACCACGACCAACGAATGCACACGATCTCGACACCCGTCACCACACGCAGCGTACACAGCGAGCACCACGTCACTACGACGCCGCACACACGCACGTTAACACGCGAGCACACACTCGACACACCACGCGCCACTACAGCGCACTCACAGACGCAAGCACACGCACGCGCGCGAAACCGCTCCGCGCGCTAATACAGGCGAGAGACAAAGTAAGAGAAAACCGAAAACTTGAGCGACAGAGAGACGTAGTGAGGCAGATATACAAGGGGAGAGGACCATTGAGAATAAGACAGAGAGGGCTAGCGAGAGGGGGAGAGCCAGAGAGAGAAGAGAAAGATAAAAAAACAGAGGAGAGATAGCTAGCGAGAGAGGAGCAGAGCGCAGAGAGAAGAAAGAGGGAAAACAGAAGATAGCTAAGCTGCAAGAGAGATGCAAGAGAGAGACAGAGAGAGAAGAAAGAGAGAGGAATGCAAGAGGAGAAGAATACTGAGAGAGGCTAGCGAGAGAGAAGAGACAGATAGAAGATTGAGAGCAGCAGCAAAGAGAGAGAGACGCGCGCCGAGCCAAGCCTGTGATAGCTACACCGCGTGTGTATGATCATGTGCTGGCTGGGATAGTGTACCAGTACGCACTAGTTAAACACTGTGTAAGCCTGTGATAGCTACACCGCGTGTGTATGATCATGTGCTGGCTATAATAGTGTGCCAGTACGCACTAGTTAAACACTGTGTAAGCCTGTGCTAGCTACACACGGAGTGAGAATGCGCTAGCTACACACTGTTGAGCATGTGCTAGTAGCTTCACAGTGTGTGAGAATGCGCTAGGTAAACACTGTGTGAACATATGTTAGCTACACAGTGTGTGAGAATGAGCTAGCTATACACTGCGTAAGCCTGTGCTAGCTACACTGTGCGCGATCGTGTGCCGTAACCTCGCAGTGTGTGACTGTGGACTACCAGCATCGCGTGTAAGTGTAGCATATCTAATCAACCAGCTAGCTAGCCAGTCAGGGATACAATCAGCTGACTGGATAGCCAGGCCACAAACCACCCACCCTGTCACCCCCGCAGCCGCTCAGCCAGCTAGCCAGCGAACCAGCCTAGGAGTGCGGACAGTCTCGACAGGCTGTTCAGTATGCGCGTGCACCTATGAGAGCGTATGGTGTTTCCTGGTCGTCGCGTCGCGCCGACACGCCAATCCTTTTAGCGATGTGTTCCTCGCATCCCATGGTGAGCGCCTCGATGTGGCTCATGTTGCTGCAGCTGACCACTCTCAGTGGATGTCGGCAAACCGTCGCCGTGTCGGGTGAGTATACGGTCGCGACCTTAAGAACGTCGGCATCGTCATCGTCGTCGTCGTTCGTCGTTGTCATCTCTGTCGTTGTCATCATTGTCGCCATTGTCGTTGTCGTCGTCGTCGTCATTGTCGCTGTGGTCGTCGTCACGGTCGTCATATCGTCATCGTCGCCTATGTCTTTGTTGATGTCGTCGTCTTCATCGTCGGCACTATCGTCGTCTGTCACACACACATACACACACACACACACACACACACACACACACACACACACACACACACACACACATACAGACACACACACACAACTCTCTCTCTCTCTCTCTCTCTCTCTCTCTCTCTCTCTCTCTCTCGATTTCACTTTCTTTCTTCTCTTTCCTTAACCTACCCTTTGCTCCTTGTTCTTTCTCGTTATTTCTCTGTGTGTATGTGCGTGTACTTGTGCATGTACACGTTTAGTTTTTTATTCTCTAATTCATCTAGCTAACCGCTTGATGCAACGTGTATTTTCGTAGAGCATACTAACACTACTACTACTACTACTACTACTACTACTACTACTACTACTACTACTACTACTACTACTACTACTACTACATATTACTACTACTACTACATATTACTACTAACCGGTATGTGATTAATGTTGCGCGTATTTTCTCATCCGTGGCTTCTCCTGACCAGCCTGCCAGTATCGTGCGTTTGCTATCTGCTTTGTGCTGCCACCTAGCTGTGATCTAAAACACACCATCTACGCGTGAAACGCCCATAGCTTCTCAAATTGCTAACGAACATGCAGAGACGATTGTTCTCTCTTACCCTCTTTATGTTTTTGCAGATCCCTGCAACAGCGAGTACGGATGTGAAGCAGATGGCAGCGTGACGGACCCTAGTGACTGTCGCTACTTTATCATCTGCGAAAATACGGACACGATGCACGCTAAGCGGACGAGGATGGCCTGTCCGAACGGACTCGTCTACCGCCAGGAGACAAACTTGTGCGACTGGCCCGACAGTTTCTCCGACATTTCTGCCATCTGCAATTGCGGTGAGATGACACTGACGACACCGACGACTGCACCGGAGACGACGACGATGATAATGGAAGAGACGACGACGATGATGATGGAGGAGATGACGACCATGATGGTAGAGACTATGGCAGCGGAAACTGTGGCAGAAACAAGTAAGCATATCAGCAATTTTTTACTCTTATTTAACATTTTTTAACACACTTTGAAATGCCTCTCTTGTTTATATATCTCGTCTTGTATAGCTGTATGCCTCGCATCTTTATATATCTAAAATTCTCTGAAATTCTCTGAAAATCTCATCCTATTACTTTGTATTTCCTTTTCTTTGTTGCATTGCCTTTTTCTCTAGGTCTCATTCTGTCACTATATTCTATATGCGCCTCTCCCTTGCATTGCATCAATTGCTATTGCATAACACCTCGTATCCGTTGTATAGTTACCTTGTTACTCGCATGTTAATGCTATCCGTACTACCCCATCATAAACTTCTCGCGCTTCACTATTTAGCTCCCTCGTGCGACACGCAGGCAGTCTGCACCGAGGACGGTAACATTGCCGACCCGGCCGACTGCCGTTACTTCATCATGTGCGCGCACGTCGGCACGTCGTTCGAGAAGCATTACCAATACTTCTGCGGCGCCAATCTTGTCTACGACCCAGCCGTCGACGCATGCGCGTACGCGAGCGAATTTGAGTTGACAGACCGTTGCAAGTGCGGCGAGTATGACACATCCATGACGACGGCTATGCCGGACGCTACCACTGACGCAGCCACCGACGCAGCCACCGACGCAGCCACCGACGCAGCCACCGACGCAGCCACTGACGCAGCTACCGATGCGACCACCGACGCGGCTAGCGACGCTGCCACCGACGCTGCCACCGACGCAGCCACTGACGCAGCCACCGACGCCACAATTGCACCCGATTCGACCACAAGCAGCACCATGTCGCCGCCCGATCCACAGCCTCTAATTCCAGGTATGTTCATACCCCGCGACTCCGCGAAAACGCGATACCTTGTGTTAAAATTATATATCGTTCACTCGCCTGGTTGTTCGAGATTCTGAGTCCCGATTCTTGCTTTTCTTGTATGAAAAATAATGGCGAAAGTTGCAACGCATGCGCTTGTGAACAGTCAACATATGAAATATTGATAAAAGATTGCATTATAGTTTCTGCGCTCCCGCTCCGCTATGTAAATGAATGACGAGAGAGAGAGAGGCAGGTATTATAATTACATGCGCTGTCCCCGCATCGCGCAGGTCTGCCTGGCAGCTGGTCTTCCTACGACCTCCAGTTCACTCGGCAGAGCACAGAGGACTACGTGCATTTCGTCCTCTCGTCTCCATCCCCGACATTCACCATCAGCTTCTGGTTGCGAACTACGGGTAAGCGCACACGCACGCACACACACACACTTACACATACGCAAGCGCACGCGCACGCGCACGCGCACGCGCACACGTGTGCATCTACACGCACACGCACACGCACACACACACACACACACACACACACAGCGGTCGTTCACGATCTGTACGACCGATGCTATGCTGTTTGTTCAACTAGAGCGCGCATGCGCGTTTATTACCGCAATAATACAAGCAATACAGGGATCATCGTCTCGTGATCACCAATCGCTACATGAAAACGAGTCATTAACGCACGGCTAGGTTCATTCACGTGTCGCACGCAGACCCGGTGTGCTATATTACGACGATGATAGGATTTAAGGGGGCATTAAATAATACTTATAATGCTACAGGCAATAGATATCCTCAGAGTAAATATCTTGGTCATTATCTTGCAACGCTCGGTGCTTGGGTTGCAATGACGTCACCAGGCGTTAAATTATTGACAGATACGACTCCGTCGCCTCGTCGCTTGACTGTGATATCGTTACGGATATGGGAAAGAATGTTATCGCTTGGCTTGGTGGACGATACTCTACAGTTGCTTTGCGACACCTCCGGCACACAGTGAGTGACAGCTGGCGATATATATATCGGATAGCGAATGTCTCCTTGCCAGCAGCATCACTCCGCATCTTCCCCGTCTGCATCCGCCCGCATCCTTCACCCCGGCATTACACCGCATCCTCCACACCTGCCGTTTCTCAACACCTGTACTAATTACGCCGAGTAATGTTACCTGAGATGCATTAAGACTGCATACCTAGAGAAAAGGTTCATACAAATGTCTTAGCTATGATTACGGAAGTGAGGTTACTCATACTCACGATGTAGCCTACGTTATAATGAGCCTTCGCGTATTTTACAAAAGCGTTGTTCGATATCATATTCAAGCAAACGTTGGAAGTGGAAAAGGATTTGCAAGCAAAAGAATTTTCCGAAAGTAGGGCCCTTAATCACAACGCCTCTCTTGATTTTTCCTCAGCGCGATTCCAGCACCAATGCTACGTGACGGACACTGGCATCTCGTTGCTTTCACTGGGAATTGTAATACCGGAGATTTTGAACTATACATCGATGGCAGCATACCGTTTATGATTGGTAAGTAGAAAAACCACTAGCAGCCTTTCTCTCTCTCTCTCTCTCTCTCTCTCTCTCTCTCTCTCTCTTTTTCTTTCTCTTTCTCTCTTTCTTTTTCTCTCTCTCTCTATTTCTTTATCGCACACCCTATAGACACACCCGTTATGAATATTCCCGCTTGCCCGGCGCCTGTCACCGTTCTCTACTCTATCCATCTTTCATTCCCGTTCTCTCTCTCGCGCTCTCTCTCGCTCTCTCTATCTCTCGCGCACGCTCTTTCTCTCTCTCTCGCTTATTTTTCTCATTTGTTTGCATTTTCTGCCGTACTTTACGCCGATACTTTCACCTTCTTCCAGGTCATATTGATCCGATACTCTTCCCCCCGTCCGACAGCGACGGTAATGTAGTCGTCGGCCAGCAAATCCATCCCACGGAGCACGAATTCGATCCGCAAAACAGCTTTGTCGGCGAGCTGAGCGACCTAAACGTCTTCAACTCGCTGCTGACGCGCTTCGACGTGGCGACGTTGCGCTCCACATGCAAGTCCGGCGCCGGCGATCTCGCCAGTTGGTTCGACTTTAGAGCGGGCGTGCGCGGTGCCGTCCGTGTGCACCAACCGTCGGCTCTGTGCCAGTGAGCGCGCGTGCAACAACCGTTGGCAATTTAACGTGACTGCGCGTGCAACAACCGTTGGTAATTTAACGTGACTGAACATGCAACAACCGCTGGCATTTTAACGTGACTGCACATGCAACAACCGCTAGCAATTTAACGTGACTGAGCGTGAAAGAACCGTTGGCAATTTAACGTGACTGCGTGTGCAACAACCGTTGGTAATTTAACGTGACTGGACATGCAACAACCGCTGGCAATTTAACGTGACTGGACATGCAACAACCGTTGGCAATTTAACGTGACTGCGCGTGCAAAAACCGTTGGTAATTTAACGTGACTGCACATGCAACAACCGTTGGCAATTTAACGTGACTGCACACGAAGTATTTGCTAGTCTAGTACTGGAGAAATTAGCGTTTGGATGCGCATTGTGAGCCTTTAAACGCGTGGTTTTATGAGCGAGCTGTCGGATAGCGGGCACGAGGCATTTCTTTTCGCGGTTGATCATGAAACGCGATGTAATTGGCGCGTTTTCATCGCTTCAAGCATAGAGATACTGACATTTTAACGTGTTCAAAGCGCGGGATGGAGGACGTATTTAGTTTTAACGTGCTTGGGGCAACTAAGCGAGTGGGTTCTTAAATTCAGAGCCGTTTCATGGCACACCCGTGGCGATAGACTAGCTTTTATCGCTGACCCTGTCAGGAAACGCACGCACGCACACTCCCACGAGCGTCATTGCAAATTGCATGCGCGTCCATGACAGAGTAAGCTCCTTCACCTCTACCCACACACGGCGCTCGCCGACACGTCAATCGTTGAACACACTCCACGTCCCTTTCTTCGGCAGCCAGCTAACACCCGTGTATCACTCGTCTAAACATCTCGCATTTCTACTGCTGCGCGGGGTTTTGTCGCACCGTAACGAACAACAACAACATCAGCAGCAGCAGCAGCGACAGCAGCAGCGACAGCAGCAACAACAACAGCAGCAGCAGCAACAGCAGCAACAGCAACAACAACAACACCAGCAGCAGCAGCAACAGCAGCAGCAGCAACAGCAACAACAACAACAGCAGCAGCAACAACAACGGCAGCAGCAGCACCGACAGCAGCAGCAACAACAACAATGGCAACACCTCCAACGACGACGACGGCGACGACGACGATGACGGTGTCGTGTCGCTGCGCGCAGCTTCCCACCGTAACCGCTTGTAATTGCTACCACAGCGAGGCAGCAAACCCAAACGTCGTCGTCTGCAGCGACGCGCACACGCTCCGGTTCGCTTCCGGCGACATTTTTCCCCTCGCTGAAACGCGACGAGCGGTAAACAGACGACAATATATTAATCGCTGTGTCAACTCATTGGTCGTCTGCGGCGTGCTGCATAGGTTGGCTGATGAACACTCGAACCACAATCGAGATGGCCGCCATCTTTGTATTTGTAGTAATTAATACCGGCCATGCGATTCGGCAAGACCAACACATAACACATTCTCTGATTGGTTGCTTCAGATTTCGCATTTCGCATTTCGCATTTCGCATGAGCCTTCTGGGCTTTCGTAACAACCAGCTTCAGCTGCTGCCGTGTGTGCGGCATCGTCGTCGCTGCTAGCAACGCAATGATTCACAAAATGCAGCCACGTTATTATAAACCACCGCACTAAACCACAGAAACTAATATTTTATATCTAACAATCGCCATGTTAGCGTCATGTAAACACCGCTATGTTAGCCTCATATAACTACCGTTATGTTAGCGTCATCTAACATCTGCTATGTTAGCGTCATATTACTACCGCTATGTTAGCGTCATATAACCACCGCTATGTTAGCGTCATCTAACTACCGCCATGTTAGCGTCATCTAACATCTGTTATGTTAGCGTCATCTAATCTCGCTATGTTAGCGTCATATAACTACCGTTATGTTGGCATCTGCTATGTTAGCGTCATATAACAACCGTTATGTTAGCGTCATCTAACCACCGCTGTGTTAGCGTCATATAACTATCGCTATTTTAGCGTCCTCTAACCACTGTTATGTTAGCGTCACCTAACCACCGCTATGTTAGCGTCATATAACTACCGCTATGTTAGCGTCATATAACTACCGCTATGTTAGCGTCATATAACTACCGCTATGTTAGCGTCATATAACTACCGCTATGTAGCAGACACACGTAACACGCACGCACGCACTCATACACGCACGCACGCACTCACATACGCACACACACACACACACACACACACACACACACACACACACACACACACACACACACGCACACACGCGCGCGCGCGCACACACGTATCCACGAGGTTTCAGCGAGCAAGCTGTGAGCGCTAATCACATTCACCAATGAACTTGTTTCGCTGCATTTCAGTTAATCATGGATCGCGCCGCCTCACTATCGCGTCTGCTAATGATACCAGCACGCACGCACATGCACTCACGCGCGCATGCACACCCGCACGCACGCACGCACGCACACGCATGCACGCACGCACACGCATGCACGCACGCACACACACTCACGCACTCACGCAGGCACGCACACATGCGCGCAATACACTCACGCGCGCACATACACTCACGCACGTACGCACACTCACGCATGCACGCACACACGCGCGTATATACACTCACGCACGCACGCGCGCACATACACTCATGAACGAACGCACGCGCGCGCGTAGATACAGCGGATGATGATCCGTCATAGGAAGGTTACCTGACACAGGTTACGAGTCATAGAATATAAGTAATTATTAATTCGCTGCATTCATCTTTAATTAACTATTACGATTTATCAATTACAATGATGAATGATAAATTATACGGATCGGGTGTTCGGCGGAGTGGTTTCTAATAATTATTTGCGCAATTATAATACCATAATACGATGCGCTTCAATATATACGACTACGCGTAGGCAGCAGCGGTAATTCGCTGCAGCCTATTGGGTGACGATGTACACACCATATATAGCTATTTAGAGTAACGTCACACTTCGGCAATTAACACTGTGAATATAACTATTCGGAAAAGCTTGACCAGAGATCATTATGAAATCTTATACGAAATCATATTCTGAGCGATAGTACATTAGATAAACCTGCTATTGCTATATAGCGTTAACCATACAGTGATACTAACCATGTGATGTGGTATTTCGGCATTTAGGGTGCAGCTGTGGCTGGCAGTGGTCTAGATTCAGGCCTGGGCCTAGATTCATCCTTGGTACGTAAGTTACCGTGCCTGCGTGCCTGCGTGCCTGCTTGCAAAACTGCTAACGAATACATTTACTACGTAGGTGGAAACTTCCTATTCTGTCATATTTACAAAAACAACAACAACAGCAGAGGCAGAAGCAGCAGCAGCAGCAGCAGCAGCAGCAGCAACAATAATAACAACAACAACAACAACAACAACAACAACAACAACAACAACAACAACAACAATGCCGAGCATTTAATAATGAGCAGCCAATATCGGGTATAATATCCTGACAAATATTCCCCGTTAAATATTTAGTCGCCATCTCATCAATCATTTCCATTCTGTCAAATTCTAATTTTTTAATGAAGACCACTCCGGATGGCTGACTGTATGTGAGCATGGACTGCGCTTACGTACATTTTAAATCGGTTCATGATATCGACACGAAGCCGATCACTTTTTTCCTATTCCCGTAATCAGCTGGCTTTTTCATTGCGACATCGGGAGGACCTTATATCGCGATCCCCCCATAGTTATTCCTAAAAAGGGGGAGGGTCTTCCCTCCAGTTGCAGGTCTGTTATCTTTCTTTGATCTGGTTGGATCGAATCGTCACTTGCTTTCGTCATCCCACGCTAATATTTCATGACCCCTCCCCCTCTTTCTACGTTTTCCCGATTAACCTTATCTTCCAAGCCGGAGAACGCGAACGCTCTTGATTACTCATGCTCCTAGCTGTCTTTAGGAAATGAGATTTTATCTCTATGGGTTACCATGTCGCAGTGAGGTTACTTTCTCATACGATTATCACCATCTTAACACCCTTCTCTATATTAGACTAAACATTTTTACTACTCAGTTATCAAATTGTCAAGTCCACGATATCGTAATCCTTCTAGCAGCATTTCTTTTCTGGGTTTATATATAATAGAATTGGTTTTATTTCTTAAGTATCGACACGCTTATGCTTTTAGTCGAAGGAAAGTGTTTTTATAGTCATGAAGCGCGACTTTATTCCTTAACGTGGGTCTCACCATGGCTCCATCCATCTCCGTCCTCCAGCATCGCCGATAGCTGGCAAGTTGTTGTTGTTCTAATGGCATATTCAAGCAAATTTGCAATTCCATTAGTGGAGAGCGTGTGACGGAGCGTTATTTTTCTTGTAAGCTCCGCTCGTTCTCCAGTCTAATTAAATCCCGCGCGTTTACTATGCCTTTGCTGTCTGTCACGTTTTCGGGAAAAAAATTCATCTTACCGACCGAGACTTTCATTTCGGAGAAGCGCAGTTGTCAACTCGCCTTGATATCTCGTCATTCATTCATTTCCACTTTCCTCTGCACTCCGTTTACATTTTATATAATATCCGCGTCGAATTAGCTTTGTTTTGTTAATGGTATTCGTATATCAGACGGTTTTATGTTCATATTGTTGCGTTGTGTTAGTGTTGTATTATGTTTTCTTCACATGCGTCGTAATTTAAATTAGCAAGTTTTACGATCGCGTGCGCGCGCTGTTTTCGCAGTAGTTACTCGGCAAGGAGAAGTACGCATTGCGATACATACGACACCGATCGGTGACATTCATGCATTACGAAATGTACGAGAATCGTGAAATATTTAGCCGTGCAATTTACACGGTTTTATTTTTTTAATGAATCTTTTCAAATTTTACAATTGGTTACGGTCACAGTTTCGCCGAAAGTGCATTGCCTCAACTGTCGCCTAAATATAACATTGTTCCAAATATCGACGTTGTACGGTTAAAGCCAGTATCGTGGAAAGACGGCAAGCTGGCTTCGCGAGACGATGTATTAGAAGGACAAGAACTCGACTCGACGGAGTGCTATACCAATAATTAATTATTGTAATTAATGTTACACGCGCACGCACGGGCGAACGCGCGAACAGGGGCACGAGCGCATGGACGCACTGACGCGCGCGCGCGCACAGAATTTGAACAGCTACGCGATTAAAGCGGCTCGAAGCTTGATTGTCTTGATTGTTTTGGATTCATTTCACATCGCTGATTTACTTTGGTCGCCTCAATCCAACCGCTGCCTTTCCTAGTGACTGCACATGCAACAACCGCTGGCAATTTAACGTGACTGCGCGTACAACAACCGTTGGCAATTTAACGTGACTGCACATGC